TAGACACCAAGGTCAGTGCAGAAGGAGGGGCAGGAGGTGCTCCAGGCACTGGAGCTGAGGCCCCTGCAGCCCCTGGTGCAGACCATGGTGGAGCAGCTGTGCCCCTGCAGCCCATGGAGGACCATCGGGGTGCAGAGACCCACCTGAAGCCCATGAAGAAGCCCTGGCTGGAGCAGCTGGATGCCCAAAGGATGCTGTGACCCTGTGGGAGGCCCAAGATGGAGCAGGGTCCTGCCAGAAACCTGCAGCCCGTGGAGAGGGAAGCTCACGCTGGAGCAGGTTTTCCCCGTGTGATAAATGTGGCCCCTGTAGAGGACCCACGTCGGTACAGCTCATTCATGAAGGACTGCACCCCATGGAGAAGCGACCCACGGGACAGCAGTTTGGGAAGAACTGCTGCCCAAGGGATGGACTCACGCTGGAGAGGTGCGTCAAGGACTGTTTCCGTAGGAGGGATCCCAAGGGAGCAGTGGCAGAAACAACTGACCATAACCCCCATTCCTCATCCTCCTGCACTGCTGGGGAGAGGAGGGAGAACATGGAACGAAGGGTGGGGGGAAGGTGTTTTTAAGATTGTTTTATTTCTCACTCTTTGGCTCTTATCCTCTTAGTAATAAATTTAAGTACTATCCCCACTTTGAGTCTGTTTTGCCCATGAAGGTAATCAGTCACTGACCTCTCCCAGCTCTTATCTCAACTCATGAATCCTTAGCTGTTGTTTTTTTTTCTCTCTCCTCTGTCCAGTTGCAGAGGGAGAGTGAGAGAGTGGCTTTAATGGGTACCTGGTATCCGGCCAGGGTCAACCCACTACACTCAGCTGTGGGGCAAGAGAGGTAGGAGCAGCACCAGCTTGGAGAGCACTCCCATTTATCAATGCCTTCAATGGGCAGAGAAGTCTCTCTCCTGTTAAAACACATGCACTCACCTGCCCTTTGCAAATTCCAATGCCAACACCTCTGGGTGCTGGGAAACACTGTGCCAGAGCTTGGGAAAGTTTGGGGAACAGGCTGTGCCAGTTAGCTCTCCCTGCAGCTGCTCCACAGCACCACACAGCCAGTGTGGCTGCAAGGAGCAGGCCAGCTCTGCTGCCCAGAGCAACCACAGCTTTAAACAAAGGTGCCACCACCCCACAGGTTCTGTCGGGCTGCAACTCAACTGCTGAGCGGCCCTGTCCAGGAAATAGCTTGGCAGCTTTTTAATTCAAAGCCAGGGGAGTTTCTCCAGTCTGGGTCAGCACTGGGCTGTGCACCAGTGGTGCTGCTGCCACAGGAGCAGGTACAGCACAGGCAGCTGTGGCTGAGGCTGGTGTTGCCATTGGTACTTCCCTGAACTCTGGGTACTTCTGCTCTGCTCAAAGGAACTGGCAGGGCACAGACATTACAGACCCCACATACCTTGTGGCTCCTCAGTCCACTGCAAATCCAGACCACAGAGCCGGGCTTTCAAGCAAACTGTAGAATGTGGCACATAGTACCTGCAATGTATCCCAAGGACAGTGGGGTGTCTGGATGCCCCAACAGATGTAGTTAGTACACCAAATCTAAACACATTTTGAATTTAGTCTAATGGAAACTAGTGGCTCTTAATAACGCCTCAGACAAACCAAACCACAGCACCTGATGCTCATGTCAGCGTAACAGCCTACAGCTTAACTATAGGAAACCCCTGGGTAGTTTTACTGTCCTTCAAAACCATCTTTCTAAACCAAAGATCAGCTTGGGTGGCACTACCAAAACAGGTAGGTACAAGGGGAGTAACACACAGAGCCAACTGTCTTTTTTTTTATAAAAGTATTTTTAATAAACTGATGGATTTAAGTTTAAGATGCTAGACAAATTGTTGCCATGTACAGGTAACAAAAGTCAAAATTCTTCGAATTTTATACAAATACTATGTAGTACAGTAAACTTGAATACAAGTTTACAAAAAATGCATCAGTGAATATTCAGCTTGTAAGCAACTTCCAACAGTGAAAATTATCATCTATCAATAGTGATCAGAATTGCATTGTCAGTTTTAGAAGTAATGCAACTATGCTTTTTTTACCAAGCCACTCTGGAGTTATTGGTGCACACTAACAGTACATTGGATTTTTTTGGCTTGCTGAACAGAAAATGGCATTTAAATAAAATGACCGAGTTAAACAATGTAATAAGTATCAAAAGTACTATCTCACAGGAAACTAAACAAGAATGAGAAAGTAAACAGAGCAGAACCCTGAAGTGGTGATTTTTCTACCCGTTTTGATGGAAAAGATTCCACAGGTGTCCAGCTTTCTCACAGCATTTTGGAGTGTTCTAGTCCTAGCACAGTGTGGTCATTAGTAGACTAAAGTAATCCCTGCTTGGCAGTAATGCTGGTGAAAGGTAACTTGCTCTATTGCTAACAAATCAGAGTAACCACTGGCAGGGCGACTTTTTGGAGGCATCCAGCAGGAGCTGACAGCACATGACTGGAGTTACAGTGCCGCTCGCTTCCATACAATACCCAACAGCCTTCAGGGTTCAGGTGTCAGTTTCCTCACAGGATTTACAAATGGATGGTTTTGAAACAAACACAAAACTCATTATGGAGCATGAGACAGTATTTTTGCCTGTACAGCTACCAATAAAATGAATGTTTTTGTTACAAACTTTCCAGTCTGCTTTATAAAAAATAGTCTTAGTTTTACTTCTAAATAAAAACTGTGCTGTGATCTGTCACGTTCTTGCATTGTACATGCTGTAATTGTGTGTGTTAATGAAAGTGTAGAGATTTGTGACCTAGCACTCTGGATGTATCAGAAGCCTAAAAAGCTGATTTTGGTACATAAAAGGTAGCAATGAAAATTCATTCTATTTATTTTTCCTAAAGCCTAGGAAAAGCTACAGTACATTGCTAGATCAGTGGCCTCAACCCTGAGCTGAAATAAAGGACCTGCCTTGGCCAAGAGACTTAGTCACATTACTACCACAGCTGCACAGCAGAGGCAACATAACCTGTCTGCAGCCTGTTCTCTTAGCTGTGTGTAGTGCGAGATTCAGTTCTGTAATGCTTGAGAGTTGACTGGAGACCACCATATTCATTTTCACTACAGGGGAAAAAAAGGAAAGGAGAACTCAAATTCAGAGATCCAAGTGAAAAGCACTCAACAGGGAGGGTAAGTATGTCCAGCTTCTGGAGATCAGAGAACGAAGTCAGTGGCAGACTCATCAGTCTTACGCATTTTCCCATGTGGTAGAAGAGATTATTAAAATACGTACCAAAATACAGTTAAGGAGACTCCTACTATTACCTCACTCTTTCCACAAAGAGTCTCATGTGATTCCCCGGCCTCCCCAGAACTGAGCGTTTCTCTCTCTGTACCTACATGGCATCACAGAAGATAAGTGAAAACAAAGTCTGTCTGACAAAGGATTCAACTCAGCTGCCAGCAGAGAAACTTGTTTCTAACACGAGTAAGCCATCATAAGAATTCTTATTAGGATACAGCCTATTGCACCTTCCTGTAGGGTTCAATGGCACCGACTTCCCATGGCTAGGAGCATTTGTAACATGAAGCATTCCTGCCTCCCTAGAGGACTTTTTTTTCCTTTTAAACAGCAGAAACTGTAGAGTCAGTATTTCACTTAGTGGAAAAACTAAACCCAGCAACAGACTGAAAATAAAGCTTGTAAGAATAATTTATATTTCTAGTAATGCACACTTCTTTGTGAGCTGATCAGTTTAGGGATGGTATGTTTTTTGTTTAAGGCAGCAACTCTTAGAAAATACACAAGCTCACCTCCCTCATGTTTGTGCTACTGTAGCCTTATGCGCACAATAGAACCTCACTAATTTACACTAATGATTGGAAGAACCATTAATTCTCTTGGTAAGTGAACAAGAATAAGGCATTCCATTATATATTCTGATCACTAATTATAATTTAGCTCTAATTATAATCTACCAGCAAACATACTTCTGTGTTTTAGAAAATAATATCTCTTACCTTCAGATATAATTATGTGTGCAGATTAGTGGGTTCTGCTGTGTAAACACGCAGGTGCATAAGCAGTTTTCAGGTTTTTCTTCATTACATCTGACAAAAAAAGTTAATGCCACAGATAGAGACAGTGGGAAAATAAATTAGGATTTCTCTATCATTTGTGCAGATGTGCACAACTGGGCAGCACTTCATAGCTCAAAAAAAAAAAATAAAAAGGACATGAATGTTTACAAACTCAAATGAAGCAAAATCAGCAGCAGGAAGCAAGGCCATTCCCCAAACACAAATGGCTTGTTTTATACGATTCCAAACTATATGAAACAAACAAAAAAGGAATACAAGTACTAACTTGTAGATACAAGTTTGAAATCAAGTAAAGCAAACAGCAAAAAATTTTTCATGCTTCTAACAGATGATTTTCACACGTCTAAATCCTGATTGAAGTAAACTGTAAATAAAGATGGGAGATCAGATGTAAACTACATGGCTGAGTTAGAAAAGAAGGATCGATGTGCATTGTAATGAAATAGAAATTTCCCTTCATATGTGCAAAAATCCACAGTTTCATTAATGTAGAGGTCATACTTCTAGGAACAGATCTTAGACGGAACCAGTCTCCCTACATCCTGGAAACTACCTGCTTACATCAGCCACTTTAAGTGCACAATACCCTGTTCACATATATAGTATTCAGCAGTTTCTGGCATTTCTCAATTTAACGTTCACCTGCCTTAAATCTTGAAAACAAAGGGGAGAGTTCATCCAGGGCATCACACCACTGTTTTGAGTTACACCAACAGTTAAATCAAACTCAAATTCTTTCTTCTTCCATGGTGGCAGGAGTCCTTACAGGACTTGTAAACAGCAGTACACAATACTGTAAACAAATAATTTAAGTTTCGCTTTATACAAGATGTTAAGTTAATCCAGGTCTACCAAACATCAGGTGAAAATGAAAAGGGTGGCTTCACACAAAATCCTTCCCTTTTCTCCCAGCAATTCTTCTCACTACATAAATAATCCTGAGCTGAAACATGGTTTGCTGAGAGCTTTTTTTTTTTTGCATATAAAAACAATGTTCTAGAGTCAGCTCTCATGTTCTGTCAGGAAGTCAGTTGCTGGAGAGATTAAACTGAAGTATTTCAAACCATTTGTTACTTTGGAGGAGGACTTATAATTTGGTGTGGCGTCCAGTTCTAGACCCAGATGCTGAGCTTGCCAAGGAAGCTGATGCTGCTGCATCCTCAGCTTCCTCCAGCTCATCATGTAGCTCCTGGCTAACACTAGACTGGAGAGCTGCAGGAGTTAGCCACTCCTTCGGCAGGCAGCTCTGGAGAAAGGGTATACAAGAGCTGAAGTAGGCAAGGCGATTCACCCATCGTGGAATCTCTTTTCCACAGAGAATCTATGGGGGAAGGAAAAAGAAAGGATTAATTTGTTTTCTGGATTCAGCAGTAACAAAACTGCAGCGTGGTAAATAAAAACCAAAACCTGCAGTAGCCTTACAGTTTACTTATCACAAATGCCACTCAAGAAGCACCCAAGTTAGCTGCACTAAGACAAGTTTTCTCCATCAGTAAAAGCAGACTTTTTTCCACTGTGAAATTTGGACACATGGTTCCGTGCTTTTCTTAGAAGTCCTGGAAAGCCTAACCACCTCACTCTTCTTGCATAACTTCTACAAAAGGGACAGAAATTAGTTAAGGTATGTATTCCATTCACTGCTAATTCCTCAGAAACAGAAATTGCAGGAGAAACTTCACTATTACAAAAAAGCACCCTGAAATCAAATGACCAAAAATACCGTAGCTGTGTGGAGTTACACATGCAGCTGAGGCTATTTAGTGGGATGGCCTCTGACGACTTTCATGAGATGTCACTATCTCACAAAACAAGCACAAGCACTTAGGTTCACTGGAACAAGAGAGGATATACACTGCATAGCTGGTTTCAACGCCTCAAAAATATATAATGCAGCATTAAATACTGATTTGTACTGCACATCAGTCATTAAATAATTCCGTTGTCACTATTCAAGGAGTGAGCCATTTTACTTAACTGCCTCCACGTTCACTTCTGGTATTACTTACTCCAGTGCAAATTTGGAGAATGGGAGCATTACTCTGCTTAACTAAGCAGCGTTTACCTTGTAATTATACCCACTTCTATAGTCAATTTGAACACTAAATAGAACACTAAATAGGACAAACACTAAAACAGAGACAATATGACCATGCAGCTGAAAAGTATAGCAAAACCCTGTCCATATAGGCCAGATTTCACACCAACTGCAGCTTTGTTAGTGTCTCACCCTACTTACTTGTCACTGTACACGAATCATTATCTCAATAAAATTTTCCAGTACCACTGGAAGATCAGTCTACACAAAACACAGGCTATACAGTAAGAGTGCATTAACTATTTGGGGAAAAAAAAAATTAAAATCTGTGAAAGCTCACTACAGAAAAAATAGCCATTCTTGTTTGGGAGTGTTTCAGTGAAACATCATAAATTCTGGCAAGCACAGATTGCCAACTATCAATAAAAATCAAATTTCCATTCACCTCTTTGTCCTAGGATACTTGTTCCTGACCCCTTCCCTTGTGTTGATACACGTGTGAATGATCAAGCATTCAATCAGATTGGCAAACTGATCACGTTGCAAAGGGAAAAAAGAAAAGCCCATTTGACTCCTCAGTCAGATACTTCGCATGACTCAAGTATCTACATGACCAGGACACAGATGCTGGCAGAGCAATACCTTGACAAAAGCCTCTCAAGCAGAAGATTAACACTGTCTTTGTAACTTCTGTGAATGTGTTATTCTTTAACAGTAGCTCATAACTTTAAAAATTATTTTCAGTGTGATGTTTCTGTGGGGAAATACTGACCAAAATACTATCCTCAGTAGCAATCTCTGAAGCAACTGAAATGATTTTGAAATCCTGTTAGTTCATTTACTAGGTCTCTCATTTAGGAACGCACCCCTGCTTGAATACAAGCTATGTATGAGAACAATATTTAGCATTTTTGACAGCAAAATCTTGTACTTTGGACATAAGCACAAATACGATCTGGAAAATGGTGACATTTGCCCAAGGTATCAGAGATAAGAAGTTGGAAATTAGACCAAACATTCCAAAGGAAGATGATACTCTGTAGCCACCTGGGAAGCACCTTTCTAGATCTTCATGTTTGTTTACCTCAGATAAAGCTGAAGAAAAGTGATTGCAGTTTTTGTGCATTAGATGATAAGCATTTCCTTTGAATTCTTTTCCAAGCTCTTCTACTATTTTTTCTATGTCATCTTCCATAAAGTCAGTACTGCCTAGAACCACAGCCTCTCTAGAAGAGAAACAGAGAGTAAGTGATCAGGCTCCCATGATACAGGTGGATTACTGTTCATACACTGCTCAAAAGTCACCCCATTGGGGGTGGTGAGATCTTTCGGTGCTCCTAGAACAACATCAATTCTTTCTATTCGATTTTACAGCACCACTTTCATCTTTATCATGAAAGATTATGTTTCCTTGCCTATTATCCACCTTGAAAAAGTTACTGCATTGTATATGCTGCATGAATAATAAAAGTTAGCCACAAGTCCACAAAATTTGTATGCATTTAAGAAATTTAATGGTATGCTAAAAAAAAAATGTTCTTTGCTGTAGACACTTCACTATCTCATTACCTCTGTCCATCTTTCATTTCTAAGTAAACACATGAATTTCTCAGAAAGTCAGAAATCCTTGTACAATTCCCCTATCCTCAAAAATAAATCCAACAAATTGTCTTTTTCATATGCCTTCTCAGAAAACAAGAAAATAGGTATCTTTCTTACTTAAATTTAAATGTTTCTCCTAGCTCAGAAGCATTTCCCGGTGAAATTTCAAATATTCCAGAAAAAGGGTATGGATGACCACCGTAGGCAAATTCTAAAAGAGAAAGTTCAGATTTAACAAAACCAGCATATGATGACAGCAAAGAGCAGCAGGGCTCACTGACCAAAGACAACTTCACATGGATCTAAAGCTAGGAACCAGACATCTTATTATTACAAATGAAAGGAGCTGGAAATGAATAGTTTTGTTACATTACTAGTCAGCCTGAGTAAAAACTGACAGGAAATTTCCTACAGTGTATGGATTTAATTTGAATAACTTTACAGTAAGTATATAATTTTCATTGTATAAGTGAGGATTTACAAGTTAAATTGTAAATCCTATCAATGTTCTTTATACATGCTTGTCTTTAAGGGTCCACTTTGATATGTCTAAATTGGGGATTCAAAGTACAGTATCCTCAAAGGTCTGATGGCACTTCTATTCAGTGTGCACTACATAGCTCTAGGTGTGGCAGCAAGTAGCGGCATAAGAGGTTCTTAAATGTCTCGATTTGCAAAGGTTCAACTGTCACGAGTTTTTTTACTATAACAAGAAAGTAAACCAGTGCACGCATCTGAAGCCTGCACATAGCGTCTGCTGGCACAAGCACTCACAGTACATGACAATATCATGGTATGCTGTAGCTTCCATCTGTGTCTGTCAGATAACACAGCATGCCGTGCCCAGACTGCAATAAAAGGCTTTAAAAGCATGACTTCACGCTTCCTTTCCTCAAAACTCGTAACACATCATGCAAGTCTAGCACTCAGTTTTGGGGATAATCTTTTTTACAACACGTTAATGAATAAAAAGTTTGATGTACTTTGAAAAATGCAAGTCATTGTTCTAGCAGGGGCATGACCTGCTATATGAGAAAGCTGTTATAATCCCAACAGGAAGGGAGGCACATGTATTTGGCACAGCTCAAAAACTGGGTTTCAGGCACAGCACTATTAAGAGGCAGGTCTTTCTGGTTCAGATTAAAACAAATAAAAAAACCAGTTTTTACAATAATCATAGTATTGTCAATTTGTTGCTCTGGTAACACTTGCAAACCCAGTTACAATGTGACCATAATAGTAGCTGAAACATAGTTTAGGATAACTTTGAGCAGTGTGGTCTTTGGAGTGCATGCCATGCCTTTTGCTGCTTCCCCTCACCTCCCAAAAAAAGAACTGAAGTAGATTTTTCTTCTTTAAATGGACTACTTTCAGCAACACTATCACCTCCGAGCATCATTATACTGCTGTGCAGAAACACCTCAGCCCTGAGCCTGTGCTACAGCTTCCTCAGAAACACCTTCTGGCAGCAGTGCAGATTCTAAGTGGCCTGAACAGATCAAGAAGCTGCAGTCCCACAGTACAACCTATTTAGCAAAATTGAAATGTATTTCTGTATTATCACTAGGGTATCTTTTATGAACAGCATGAACGAGATGTCTTTTAAAGAAACAGTCTCCTTAAAGCAGACCAACCAACCAATAAGGAACAGACTTTTTCCTGAGCATCATGCACTCTTGGGTGCCTCTCGTTTCTGTACCTAAAAATTAACTCCTTGCACTAAGTGCTGGCAGAATACGATTCAACCATGCTTACATAAAGTGTACATTTGTTTTTGCAACAAGTGTTTTCAAACCTAAAGTAAAGATTTCTATGCCTGGCTGAATAAATTGCACACTTTTTCATAGCTGCATAGCTTTATACAAAAGAATGCATGATGGCTACCAGATTATTCCTGTCCAAGATTTTTTCCAGAGGCAGAATAGATGAGAAAAAGAGATAAACTGGTTTCAGGAGCCAGACTTCCCTCACTACCTGAAAAATGGTTTTAAATAACAGAATTCCCGAAACAAAGAGTAAGTTGTGCTTTTTTCGTACATACCTCGGCCATACACCTCTATACCTGAATGAAAAACTCCAATTCCAAGTGAAGAAGTATATTCATTCATCCAATACTAAAAGGAAAGAAGAAAACAAGAACAACTCTAGTTAGTTTGCAATACAGATTTGTCTTCTCATAGCAGACTGACATGCATTTGTCCCCCCCATGAAAAGCATTAAACCCTACCACAAAATGAAACTGCACAACTCATTTTATGAGAACAGAACATATCATTAAAATTCCCCAACTGTACACAGTGAATTAATTCCATTAGGTCCTATGCCAGTGTTTTCGTGCTGTCAATGTCTGTCAAGCAAGGAGTCTGTACCCGGAAGAAATCCAGATCAACTTTCTATTTGTCAACAAGTTGTAGGCTGTAAAGTTTTCCATTAGGTGGAACACATTCTAGACTCAATTACACTAATCTTGAAGGAGCACATTTTTTAAAAAATAACATCACAATGTAAGGCTGTAATATACACACGCTGACTGTCACTTATAGCAATGATCACACTTGCTTATGAGCAGATGAGCACGAGACATACTCAGAGATCTGTAAGATGGACTGAAATGACCTTATTATATTTTGTCTTTGAATACTTAAACAGTGGTCACCATACAAGAGACAAAGCTCTCTCCAGGCTGCTGATGCATGGGTCTCCCGTATCAGGTTTAAGTCTTTTGCGTAGGTCTAACACCTGTTTCCAATATATCACTTGTATTGTTGCCAACAGAAAATAGATGCATTTCAAAAGGAATCCAGGAAGTGATAATTTGTTCAAAAAGGGAAAAAATAGGAAAGAAGAGAAATTTCCCTCAGTGCTTTGTCTTTTCTTTTTACAAAAGCTGCACCAGCAACCAGTGTCTATCAGAAGCTACTACCCTCAAGTCCTTAAAGATGCAAGGAGTTCTGGAAAACGAAAATCTCAAAATTGCTCTTTCCTTGTCTACATCACCACCCTCAAAATATCAGTCTCCAAGCATTAAAAATTTTCAAGTGACACATAATTAAAAGAAGGTCAAACAAAGCCTTTCAAAAAAAAAAAAGCCTCAGTTGTGCCCTTAAAACTGAAGTTGACTAGAAAGAAAAACCTCTGGAAAATACAAGAAAAGTATTATTTTGTCAATTACTCCAGTAACAGGATTTTTTTTCCTCAGAGAGCATCGCTTCGAACTTTTACAGAGCAGACTTCAAAACATCAACTGGCAGGCAGATATGGGATGAGGTGTTACCGCCGGTAAATTAATACTGGTTTAGCAAACAGAAAAATGAAGCTATCTTCTCTGCACAACCTGTTGACACAATCAGTGTTTTCTGATGCGAAGTCACTATTAAAACAGCACAACTGATGATAAAGATGTAAAAGGTTGCAGATGTCACATTTTTTTAGGAAGTGCTAGCTGGAGTTACTGCGTAATTTACAGTGCCATCGCAAACATTATGGCGTATAACATGCATTTCTGAAAGCTTGTTGTCTTCCAATAAAAATGATACACTAAACCTTGGATTGACAGGCTAGTCATGAAAATTAAGAAAAGTTCAATGGCAAAAAGAGAATGTCATGCCAATAGTTACAAATAGACAGGCCAGTTTGTGAGAAATTTTGTCAACATGAATTAACAGAAGACAGGTTTTGTGCCATATATTTATTTAAAGCTCATTGTGATCTGTGGATAAATTTTGCTTAAGACTAAACTTTACCCTTTGCTTTAATCTCTGCCTCTGTCAATGCATTGCTATGTTAGCTAGTGGGGTATGGATGACTACACTAAATCATCACCTTAGTCTATTTAAAGGGTTTAGCAGTTCTTTCCTTCCACTCCCCAGGAAAGAGCAGAGAGCTAGTCTCGTATGAACAAGCTACATGTAGAAATATACGGAGTTGATTTACTCTGCATAGAAAGACACAGAACAGAGAGAAAACAAAGAGGAGAAGAAAGGAGAATGATGCCAAGACTACTCATCCAGCTTCATGGGTTTGTGACCATAAAACAGTGGACTCTGGTCATGAGGTGAAATCAAAATCCCCTGGAAAACAGAAAAGCTACTGCAACATAAACCTGTTTCAGTTCTGAAGCCATTCCTATCCCACAGTTTACCAGCTGACCATTCCAAAATAGTCTTAGGTTTATATTTATAGTTAGAACCGTAGGCACAGTCAGCATACAGTTTGTCAGCACTGGAAGAAAGTATGTTTGCCTAATGAGGTGCATCCAAATGAACCTAATCTAGAACTGAGCTAGACAGGGTCCTGGTACTTTAGGTCTTTCCCTCTCCTGGACACTTTTGGCCAGAAAACTCAGAATTTGGCCTTTGAATTCCAAACAACCTACACATCACGTACCTATTGGATCTGCTAATGACAAGCAAGGTTATGGCTGCTCTCTGAAAATGGAACAAAAGTTAGACAAGATACCCCACAAGCAGTAGAAGAATAAAGTCTAGTTGGTTACTAGACAGAAAAAATGAGGAAAAAATTATTCATGCTTCTGCCCGCCCACAACCCATGAAACCTGACACAAAGTATAGGGAGAGGACAGAAAAGTGAGTCACCAACCCTTCTCTTCGATCTGCACAGAAGCAGATGAACAGGAAGGAAAGCTGCTCCAACAAGGTATTCAGCACGTGCTATTCAAGTACACGCTCCCCCTTACTGGTGCCACCTCAATACATAGGGCTCGCTAGACTACAAAAACTGAGCACTGGTGGCAGATGAAACAAAAGTTAGCAGAGCTTTGGAAGAAGAGCCTGAAGTAAGCTGGCACGCTTTGTGTTTCCAATAAGAACAGAGTAGGTTAATTGAAGATAAAAGAATTTCAATGAGGCAGAATTACTTTCCCCTTAGGAACAGTAATTATATCTAATTATTACTTAATCTGGATGAGCTATTGGAAGGTTGGTCACATTTTCTCATTGAACACAATGCCTTATCTCACTGAAGAAATGCAGGACAAATGCAACAAAGTGTGCTGAATTTGGCTACAGCTGAAAAGATTATACACAACTCACAAAATAAAGACTGTAAATCAAATGACATCTATATAAATCACTGGTTCGGTAACATGCCATAAATTCTGTAATCCCAAACTCATCCCAAACACTATATCCTTGCTTCCATTACACAAACTGGATTCCCTTTGGTCTTGATATGAATTTTGCCATAGTAGAATGCTTCAATTCCATATCCTCAATATTTTGCAATATGTCAGTCTTGTAAAACAGGATTTCAGGTTTAATGCGACTGTCATAGTGAAAATATTAGAGAAGTGTTTTTCTATGCGCACAATAAAGTCACGTCACTGCAATGAAAGCAAAACACTAATCCCGGTGCTTCAAAAATATCTACAGTACTTTCTTCAGAGCTTTCACTTATGTTAATACTTTAGCTTGTTATCACCTTATTTGATAAGGGGAAAAAATAGGATACTTCTCTGGGCACAAAAAACCTAGACTCCTAAAAACAGAAGCCAGTTAAAATGAAACTATAAAGTACTCCAATTCTCAAAACACAATATATCAAAGTCTTCACCCTAATCTTTTAATGATCATAAAAGATTTTCAAAGGTATGAACTGCACGATGTAAACGTGGCCTTGAGCTTTTCTCCCACCATAAAATCACCAGTACTTGAAAGTCCACTTTCTTGTACAATACACACCAGTACTTGAAAGTCCACTTTCTTGCACAATACACTCAACTCTCTTCCCTCTTTGTTTTTATCAAAGATTTTTGTTTTTTCAAGTGATAAGGACACTGGAAGGGTATATGCTCCAAAACCAACCGACTCAGTGATGTAAGGAGATCCAGCAGGAGCAAGGTCACCTAGTATTCCCTGCATACCTAAGCAGCTGCTTGGGAAATGAAGCTACAGTTAGCATTCAGGTTAAAATAAAGCTGTTCATACGGCTTTACAATTATTACAGTAGCGTTGATTCTGTCAAGCAGGTGAGTAACAGTGGTCTCTTGTTCCAAAAGAGAAACAAAAAAAAAAACAATCCCAAACCTAAACTACAGAAAACGCCCAAATCCACTTCCAAGTGACACAGAATGTCAGGAGCAAATAGCAAACCTGCTAATGTCTTAAGTACACAGTTGGCAGGATTTGATGAACAAGCAGAACTTCAAAATAGCCTTTAGAGAAGACACTTCCCTTCTTCCACCCGCTCTCAGTGCCCCCAAATAACGGAGTACCATTGATTTCAGCAGGCTGTGTACACGCAGTAACGACTGCTATGCACATGAACGTGAGGCTTTGGTTTAAATTCCTGCTTCAAACAAGTTCAAAATGGACTGAGACATCATTTAAAAAAAGAGTTTGAGGCAGGATGTACACTGACGGTATCTTTCAGACGTCACAGGAACCTGGGTTTCTCTTACCCGTTTAAAGGAAATCTGTTTCTCTAATGGTCAAGTAATGTAGACGTTGCTATAAAACAACAAACAGGACTGAAGCGGGAAATAGAAACACTTTCCTTTATGGCCTCAGCTTATACTATGTATAATTTGTGCAGCTTTAACCGATACTAAAACTGTGGACAAATGCAAAAAAAGTCACCCCCTACATGCAATCAAACATCTGCAAATAAATGTACTTGGTTGCTTTTTTGGAGAATAAGTTCCTTCCACAGTTACATAGCTTTAGAGGCTATGTAACTTCTCAATGGAGGCAGAGCTTCAGCAATCGCAATCGGAGAACGATCAGTCCCCAACACATCCTAAGGAAAAGTATGACACTAGTTTTTATGAGCACACCTTTCCCGTTGCTTTTTTACGTCCCTTCCCTTTGTGTCAACTGCCAGCCTTCCTACATTGGCTGGAGTAAAACTGATCACAGCAATTCAACTCTGGAGGAAAAAGAAAGCAGGATATGGGTTGCAGCAAAGAAATCTAAGGAGTAAGAGATGAAGGAGAACCATGTGAATGAAAGCAGACTATCACAAGAAAAAAAGAAACAGCATGGTGAAGTCACACCCCACCAATGCTACCATTATAGTGAGAATGGAGTTTCTCACAGAGGGCATGACCCTACTTTCCAGGCAGGCATTTATACAGGAGACAATCCATTCTGTAAAGTTTTCACAGCCTGCCTGTGAACTGGGCCCAGTTGACACTTTGCACAGCTAAGCAAGTCTTTGCAGGAACACTAGGTCTCCATCTTGGTGAGTCAGAAGTGCGTCAAGCCTTGACTTTAAAGACACTCTCTTACGTAAGAGTCCCGAAACTGAAGTCCTACTTCTTTCTCTGCACAAATATTTATAGTTAATATATGTAAAACCATCTCTTTTCACGGTAAAAGAGATTCTACAATGTGTATTTTTGCACTGTAATCAAGAGAAGTCATATATATGCACGTGACAGAGCATCCTTCCTTCCTCAAGTCTAGCGTAAGGCACACAGTGCCTTCTTCCTAATATCAGCACCACATATGAGCTCAACCAGGTGAGCAAAGACCTCTTTCTCCCCCGCCTCCTCAGAAAAATCACAGTGAGCAGACTGTCCTGTCTCCAGTTTCCCCTTATTCTCTACAAAGAAGGCAAACCAAAGTCGAAGTAACAGGTTATATTCACTGGATACAGAACTCAAACACAGGAGTGGACAAAAAAAAAAGCCCAAAAAACTCCTTTGAGAGGGATGTTGATTTTTATGAGACGTATTGGGGTGAAATAATGATGACGAGGCTCAGGCTAGTTCCTATAATATCATAAATAGATTTGATTTCAGGCCAGATAGCTGCCTATTGATTGCTATCAAACATTTTAGCATTTGAACATGACTACTCTCAAGCTAATAAGCTGTATTTTCTTACTTCCAGCAGTCACTGACTCTACACTAAACACCTTCACCCTTTCAAAACAGCAAAGGTTCACTTTAAAATGGTGGTAGGAAAGCCTATCCAAAACAAGCTAAGTAACACAAACACTGTCACCTGAAGCTAGTTGTTGATCTTACTGTCCCTCTATCAGTAGACTCAAAACTTGGTTAGAGAACTAATGCCACTCGTTCTAATTTCCAGCAGCTGAAAGGCATTAAGGGATAATATTTTCTTAATATTATTTATCCGCACCTCCTGTTCCATGCAGGTACTTACACCTCATTTGTTACCATGGCATTTGAGCAGCTTCCAGCTGAACATAAGACAATACAAGAGTTGCTGTAGATGTCACAGAAAGATTACCCAGGAGGGAGGGAAGGTGAGCTCATAGGGCTGCAAATCAAGCTGGAACGACTCCTTTATTTCTACCAAATCGCAGCCATACCAAAACCGCCCAAAAATTCTGATCCAGAAAAAAGTCACCTTACTGACACTGCACTAAAAAGCTCTTATCCCTACAGAGACAGTGGTTATCCCCAACTACTATCCTGCTGGAAAATTAGACACTTTTATGGTTTTCGTGAGCAGAAAGGCAGGGCCTCCCCGCTGCTGAGCTTTGGGGCAATAGCAGGGGGAGCGGCACAGCTCGGGGACGCTCATGGCAGGGGCAGGGGAAGTTTCCCTGCGACAGGGAGCGGATCCACCTGCCACTGGAAGACCCATCCCGGCAAACTTTGGTCGCAGGTCACGAAAGATCTGTAGAAATCGACAGACCTCCCAAATCACCGCCCGCGACCCCCCCTTCCCGGATTCGTTATTTCTCCCGCTCCACCGCCCACAGAGCCCGCTCCCGCGGGGACAGGCAAGGGAAGGGCAGGAAAAGTTTCCCGGCCGCCCCTGCCCCCCGCAGGACAGGACAAGACAGAACAGGACAGGACAGGGCTCTCCCCGCCGCCGCCCTCCCGGGATGCGGCCGGGACCCCCACCCGCCCCGTCGCCCCCGGGCCGTGCCGAGCCCTGGCTCACCATGTCGTAGACGTTCAGGATCACCAGCTGGTTCGCCATCGCCGGCGGCCCGCGGGCGCCCCCCGCCCGCTCGGAGCTCCCGCTGCGGCGGCGGCGCTCAGGCCGGCGGCGGGGCCGTGCGGACCCCCGGGGGCCGCTTCCTTCTCGTCCTGCCTGTTGCTGCGGGGCGGGGGCGGGCGGCGGGCACCATGGAGCCGCCGCCGCGGAGGGACCGGGCCGCGCCCCCGGGAGACGCGCTCAGCCCGCGGCCGGCGGCGGGGGCCGGGGGGCAGCGGGCGCGGGCCCCACCCCGGTGCCGATGGCGGTGCCGGCGGCGGGAGGGGAGGAGGGAAGGAAGGGAGGGAAGGAGAGGCGCGGGCGGCAGGTCGCGCCCTGCCTGGCGCTGGCGGCGGCGCCGGGGCCGCGGGACGGCCGGACAGCCCCGCCAATGGGCGCAAGATGGAGCCGCTCCAGCCCGCCCCCAGCGCCCGCGCGGAGCGGGACGGCGGCGCCTACAGCTCCCGGCGCGCAGCGCGGGAATGCGGTCCCGGCGTGCCCGGCGCCTCCACGGCCCGCCCCGCGCCGCGGGAGCCCAGCCCGGGTTGTGGAAACCCCCGTGTGGCCCGTCTCCGTCCTGGGAGGTGTTCGGGGTGGCAGCAGAGTCCCAGCGGGAACGCGATCCGCCCTGCATCGCAGCCGAGCCCGCCCCGGCACCGCCTCACGGCCGCGGGACTGTGCCCGGCCTCCCCGTCCCGTGCCGCAAATGCCACACGCGCGGTTAAGGCTTGTAGTTCTAGCGGCAGGATTACTCCGTTCCCAGTCCGTGTTGTGGCCGCGTGCGGAGCGTCCCCCGGCACCGCCATTTTACGTTTGAGTTCAGGGAAGAACGGGAATTTTAACTGGCTCGGCAGCAGGAACGTTTGAACTGTGTGGATGGGCGGATAATCCGCATGTTGGTGCTGATGAATGCGTGGCCGCTCCTAAGGCTACAGACACTTTCGAGAGTAACCTTGCCTTACAGCCTGGTGGTAAGGCAACCTCAACCTATAACCTTTTCAAGCAACGGCAAAACAAAAATCCATTTGGTAAAAGCAGGAGAAAAGATGCCTTCTCTTTCCCAGCAGATTCAGTTTTATAAAGACTACTACTGCCGCTTTGTAGCACTTTAAAAAGGTGCTGTTCGCAGCAGGCTGTGGTTGTGCCCTTGAGATGAAGGTGCTGGAGGAAGGAGGATGTACCACCCCAGGGGGTATCCCGGCTTTCACTATCATTTCTGGCTGCAGACTTTTAGATGTTTAGCCCCTCTTTCTTAGCTAAGATTTCGCTTAGCTGCTGAGCTCCATTTTGTGTGCAGAACAGCTTATCCTTCGGGTACTACAGCATAGCTGATGTAGGCAGTTAGAAAAAGCAATTCCTGCTTTGGGGAGTGATCTTTGGTTAGACGAAATTAATATTGTTGCAAAAACTTCCCACAGGTTTGGCTACTGATTGTCAGAATATGTAATTCAGGCACCTGAGAGACTGGTGTGTGAAACTGAGGTTCACCTTAGCCATGTGAGGACTTGGCAGTAATGCCTTACTTTGCTGGTAAAACGGTAAACGTGGACAGGTCTATAACTCCTTTGGGTCGTGTTCTTTGCTCCTTTGGCTGAAAGCTAGGAAACAAACTGGTAGTTATTAAACCAAAAAGTTTTGTGGGAAAAAGCTGCTTTCATGTCAGGGAATACTGAGGAAAATATGATTGTATCTTAAATCTGAGAAGGCAGGGACTCCATTTTCAACTAACAGTATTCATTAGCTGCAAGACAGAAATACAGAGTGTTGGAATGACTTGTGAATCACTTGGTCTTCTTTCTCTCCTGATTTCTGTCTACAAGAGGCACTGTGAAGCAGAAGGAGAGAAATACATAACTTCTAGCCAGGAGAGAGAAAATTCATGTTCTATGAAAGGTGAAGAATAAACCCCCAAAGTGTCATTTATTTGACTTAGGAATTGAATATTTGCATTTAAATACTAGACTTAATACATAGCGGAGTAACACAATATTACAGCTCTGACTTCCTCGGTGATACAGTTTATCTTTTCATGCAGTTATCTGCAAAAACCAGGAAAATCCTTCTTTTGAGCAAAAAGACTGTGATTAGCTATGTGTCAGAAGTAATGTTAAGCGTGAGTGAATACTGCAGAAAGTTACGCTGTACGTGGTTTGTGTTTTAGCAGTTTGCACGTATCTGAGTAGTTTGGAGAGTGAGGAAGTATGGTATGGCGATACTCCAAGATGCTCACAAACATCAGTGGCAGTTTGGTAAAGGGGCAGAGATCAGTGATGGGCACTGTCACCGCAAAAGTATAATGTGGCGAACCCAGGGACTTCTGCATTGTAAAACTGAATGACAAGCTGCCTGAGCCCTTAATGGGAACACAGAAAATCTTCTCCTCAGAGAACACCACAAACCAAAATCATTGTCTACCAATCTGTGCTACATTTACTTTATGCCATGACATTTTCCTATCCTTCTATGGGAGAAATATGCTCAAAGAGCAGTCTGGTTTCTTGTCTTTATGGAAAATGTCATTGTTTAGTTTTCAAAGGTGTAGAAATAGTCATGATTAGAGGAGCACCAATTTTCAGCCATAAAAGAGAAGTTAGAGAAGCCTAAGGCACCCCACACAGATGTTGCTCTGCAGCTCCTTGCTCCAGCTCTGTTGCTCTTGCACTTGGCATAGGTGCAGCTAAAGTGGAACAAAGATGCGCAAATACTACAGAAGGAACTGGAGGGCTCTCATCTTCGCAACAGCCCATGGGACCATCCTCTCTTAAGGGAAGACCGACTTAATGTTCAGTAGGAACAGACTGTTTCCACTGAAGGTGAAATTTCAAAGTTGATTTCTGATTTTTTTCCCTGATTTCTGTCTTGGTACAAACTGCACAGAAATAGATGGAATATGAATCATGAAAAATAAATCAGTAACAAATTATTTTAAATGCTCATGTATTCTTTGTGCCGGATTTCCACAGCTTTTATAATATTTTAAGAAAATTTTCATAAACTTGTGAATATAAAATACAGTAATTATGAGAACCCCAGACATTTATTTACTTATGGAGCGTTATTAAACTTATTTTAGGACAAACAGAGCAACTGCCATTAACAGTCTAAATAATTTGGTCCTGCTCAGATTAAGATCTGTCTGCTGTTCATCTCAGCCCTGAAACTACAGGGAGTTTAGGAAACGGCACAGATTTCCTAATGCTAATGAAATTCAGATATGGTTGAAATTTGAACGAATTCAAGACTCTTTCACATGGAAGAAAAGCAACCATTAGTACCTTGATTGTTTTTTTTTCCACACTGGTTGAGGCAACCACCTTTATACAGAGGTGAATGAGCAAACCAAATCACCATAAGCTCAGATCTCCAGTTTAGGAAAGTTGTGAGCAGCAAGTGTAACTCCTACTGTAGAACAGGCTGTTCTTACAGAGGGAAGCTCTTAACCCAATTCTGAATGAATGTCAGAGCAGTGAAGTTTTGTGACTCAGATACTGAAGACTGCCCTTCTGTCAGTCAGCATCCTGAGGCAATACTGCTCCAACTTTTACTCTGGGCGCAACAGTTTCAAGTATCAATTTTTCACAGGAATCAGATGTTTGCTATATCTTTCCTTGAATACTCCAAAACCCTGTTGAAGGTTTCTATCAGATCATCTTTTCTTGGAGGGACATCTCTGGTGAAGCCAATGACTGAGCGAGCAAAATAGAAAATGTAGCAGAAATTAATAGTGACAATCCATCATCATTATTATCAATAATATTATTTTGATTAATGGTTGAGTAGAGCCCCATTTAACTTTTATCTTCCTTTCCCTAACCACATGGCTCAAACACTACTCAAATCCAGTAATGGTGTACTTATTTTCATTGACTGTGTTTCTGGCACAGATGTATATGCATTTTCCAGGCCCTGTATTGGGTACTTGTTATGGCCTATTCCTTTCTGAAAACTAGCTGTGGCTCTCTTGATCTAGTATAATCTGAAAGGGGTGGTAAAAATACACTAACTAGTTCCAAAGTTATGAGGAGGTATCTCCAGGTTGTCAGCTGCTGCCTCCAATTTTGTATTATTCATGACTTTGCTGAGGGTGCATTTCATCCCACTGATGGAGATGTGGAACTTATCAGACCACCTCTGCCAGCTGAAGTGATCAAAATGTGGTCAACCAGTTTTCCGCCAATCTTGTGCACCAGTTATTCACTCTATACCAAATGCTTTGCTAAGGTAAATGACGTCTGTGTTACACCCTTGTCCAAGTCAGTCATCCTCTTGCTGAAAGTGAGCAGGTTTGTCAAGCATGATTTGTTCCTGGTAAAATGGTGCTGACTGTTTACAATCACTTTCTCCTTCTTTCTGTGACTGGAAATGCCTTCCAGGATGATTTGATCAATAATGCTCCTAAGAACTGAGGTTAGGCTGATTGGCCCATAGTTCTCCCTTGTCTTCCTTCTCTCCTTCTTCAGATGGCTGAGATGTTTGCCTTTTTCCCCTGATTGTCACTACTATTCAAAGACAACAAAGAGTGGCTTTGCAATGACAACTGTCAAATCTTTCAGCATTCATAAAGGTATCCAGTCTGATCCTGTGAACTGTGCATGTCCAGCTTATCTAAGGAGTCCCTACTTAGATCCATTGATACTATGTGTAGTAACTCTCCCACTAAATTTACTAATGTGAATGGAGACCTGGAAAGACTGCAAACAGCATTTGTCAATAGAGATGATGGAAGGAGGAAGGCAGTAACTACTCCAGCCTTCTCTTTATCCTTAGTCAGTAGATCTCCAGCCTGACCTAGCAGTGGACTCACCTTTTCCATTTTCTTCTTTATGCTATTGATGCACCTACGAAAGCACTTTTTGTTATTCCTTCATATTCCTTGCTCGTTTAAATTCTAGCCAAGCTTAGATTTTCCCAATTCTGTCCCTGCATGGCCTTGGTAGCTTGCCCTGCTTCCATCTACTGTACATTTTGGTTTTGCATTTGAGCGCAATCATTATCTTGTGTAGGGTACGTTGCTGGACCTGATTTTGAGTCATGCAGATCTGTTTATAGCTACAGTATATTAAAGTGCACTTCTATTTTTAAACATCTCACAGTCAATTGAGAAAAAAGGTCAAA